GATGTCACGTGTGTGTTGATGAATCTTATGCTTATTACAACTGTGTCATCATAGCCCCAGAGAACAAATATTTCAATCGACAGTTCAGGCATCGAAGTGGCACCGAAATTCACGTTTTGTTTCGGTCCGGTACATACCGGTTATATAGGTACCGGTGCCGTATTGGCACTGGTTTTCGGTACCCAACCCTGCGGTACTGACGAGGTACTTTATTGGCTACGGCAGCCCGAGGTAAGAGCGGATCCAGCGGCTCGGGCTTTAGCCAACTGCCCGGCGACGCGTGACAAGCGAAGGAGGTGCGCGAAAACCTCCGTCGGCTTAGAGAAGTGGCAGCGGAAGCGATGTTTCGGCAGATGGATGTCGACAGCAGGCTACCCTCTGGTCGGCGGTCTGGGCTTCCGAACGGACCCCAGAGCGAGCTGCGAGAAGGAGGGAGAAGCGGAGTCTCCATAAGCAGGAAGCACCACCGGGGATCTTTCTAGGGGCTACTCTGATCTCCGCTGCTTCCCCTGCCAGGTGTCGGGAGATGCCCCTTTCGATACTGGACCCAGCAGTGTTCAGCCCTGACGTCGCCACCGCCACTTCACACAAGCGGGTGCCTGACGCCTGCATCGCTGCCGCTTCCTTCCCCATGCTGGCAGCTCGCCCCTTTCTAGGGACGCGCCTGGCTCTTAAAGGGGCCAGGTCAGTTGGGGATGCCACACCGCAGCAACTCTCGAAGGACGGCGCCCGCTGCTGGGGTGCAGTCTCCGTCTTCGCCCCCCGCGGTTACTGTTTTACCTGACCCGTTCTGTGCCAGATTCTGTTTTGGCTTTTGCCATTGTGCCTGTTCTGTGTGTCTGTTCTGTTCCCTGTTCCTCATTGATGTTCTTCGTCTTGTTTTCCAGGTACCGTTTTCCCGGTCTCGTCCTGTCCGCCGCTCCCCTTGGAGCTTAGTCTTTGAAACAAAAATTATACGTTTTCACTTTTCAGCATCTGGCATGCCACTCACGATTTCAGACTCGCGCAGGAAATCTTACGGCAAATCTATATTATTCCATTGTGAACCTAAAATAAGCTACGTCAAAAGCGTATTTACACGGTTAAATACAAAAGCAGACTATTTACAAGGTAAGAACTGTTACATATGAACTGTATGCAGACATCTCGAATTGAATTGTACTGAATTAACTTGATTTGACGGTCAGGTACTGATTACAAGCAATGTTGATACAACTGATAGGCTACTTAAATATACATCACACTAAATAGTTATAGACATTATGATCTTCCGGACCTTTGGTTCAAGAAATTTTCTCTAACTGGACCTCTTTAAATTTTAGTTGACTACCCCTGCAATAGAGCTATTTAACTAATTAGATTTTTTTTTAAAAACCCCCCAAAACCCAGTATCGCAATATGAACATCCAAATGATGTTTAATGGATGGCTTGTTACATCACATTAACAGGGGTAAAATAACCAGATCACTTTAAGAAAATGTTTGATGTATTTGTAACTGTGTTGGTGGCATATTTCTCCCTTATTTCTCCCTTTCACCAGGGAGCTGGTCTCACTTCAGTTGTGCTACAAGCAGCAAGTGATACTGAAGACGGGTGCACATTGGGGGGTCCTGTTAGACATGGGTGACCAGACCTTTGCCCGACACTTCAGGATGAACAGGACCCAGTTTGAGTATTTACTCACAAAGCTGCAGGAGAACGGCCTAAGCAGAGAACACAGCCATGGAAAAACACAAGTGCCTGCCACCAAGAAGCTGTTGCTGTTCCTGTGGTACATGGCCAATCAGAACAGCTTTCGAGAGCAAGTCAGGTACTGTGTATTAACCTGACTGTCCGACAAGTTCAACATCAGACAGTTCAGGTGCTGACCATTGTGTCGCAAATTGGGCCAACCTTCATCTCGTGGCCTAATGGATGTGGAAAAGGAGCATCTGCCGCTGACTTCCAGCGCACCTGTGGCCTTGATGGGATCATAGGGGCAACTGATGGTTGCCACATCCGAATTCAGAGGCCAACCATTAGAGGGGGGGACAACATGAACAGGAAGGGTTTCTACTCTGTCCTCCTTCAGGGGATTGTCGATGAAAGGGGACGATTCACTGACATCTTCGCTGGACCACCGGGGCGAGTCCATGATGCAAGGATGTTGACAGCCTCCGACTTCTTCCTCGAATGGCAGGAAAGATGGGGCAGTACTTTCTGCTGGGGGTCAGCGTCTACATTGGCCAGGCCTTGCTATTCATCTGGGCCCCTAAACGTGATAATGGGAGACTCACTGAGGCAGAACATCAGCAGAATGCAAGGATCAGCCGGGGGAGGGTCATAGCTGAGCAGGCGTTCGGACGCTTGCAGTGCAAGTGGAGGCGTCTACGTGACTTGCAGGACACTGGAATTGACATTGTGGTCATGGTGATCATGGCAGCCTGTTTCTTGCACATGTGCATCGGCCATTCGGACATGTGCCCAGAACACCCACAATGGTGCCCAAGGGAGGAGGATGATAGTGATCGATAGTTTAATTTGAGTGATTCTTGTTTTGTGATTTACATTCTGGTTTATTTTAACCTATGAGCCTTTCAGCTTATTTTATAATTATTTGTTTTCTTATATTGTGTGTATTGTCTACATATGTGTGTGAGAGGATAAGACGGAGTGGTAGAGCAATGAATATTGTTCATCAATAAAAAATGGTGTGCTTCAATTGATTGTCCAATCTCTTTCCCGGTGGTGTCATGGACAGTGTTAGACCTTCATGGCAAAAGAACATTTGTTAAATGCAGAGTTTACACATAAAATATAGAAAAATTTCATAGCCTTTGTTTCATCGGATGGTTCACTGTGGTGTGTTCACAATGACATTTAAGAATTTAAATATTGTGTAATTTTCTGCTGTTTAGTTATAAACTTCAACTGAATTAGACATATTTCCACAAAATGTTCTTCTTAGTGTGAAATAGGAAAAATCTAACCTGTCTCAATGTCTAAGAGGCTCCCATTAACCAAGGAAAAATATAGTTTAACTACAGCTGATGTTAACATGACTGTTTCATAGGATTCTGTTCTAACAGGAGGCATATTGTGATACAGACTGATTTTGGTTAGACTGAGCTTCCTGATTATATCCACTAGGGGGCGAGCTCTGCAAATCACTCTGCACCAAATTACTGTATATGGGTCTTCATTCCAGGCTTTTTGTATATAATTTAATTTTTGGTTTTTAATTTTAATTTTTGATTTTAATGTCATGATTTTGAAGGTGAGGAAAGTCATGCAGACGTAAATCCCCCTTGTACATATAGTGAGTGCATGAGAGCGAGAAAGTGAGAGAAAAACTCAATCAACAATCAACTGTTTTTTAAAATATTTATTAATATGCTATAGTACAGTATATTATGTATTGTGTATATTGTATG